TTCGAACCCGCCACCTTACATGTACGTGGCTGGCGCCTTAGCCAGTTGAGCTATAGGCGCCGAGCCACAATTGTCATTGTTGATATAGCTGGCTACAGCTGAGTTCAAACCCCACCTCTTGTGTATGTGGCTGGCACCCTAGCTGCTGAGCTACAGGTGCTGAGCCAGGAAGATCCTTTTTTTACCTTAACCTTCCTTGTGGTGTTAAGGAAACTACATCGGTTCTTGCAGAATTGGTGTTCTGTCACGGGAAACAAAGTGAAGAACCAACTCAGATATCCTTGCTAGTGACATGGAGCCCCGAGTCTTGGGTTTCAGGTTAACTCAAGACACACACTATATAGTGCTTAAAAATAAAAACACTGATCACTTTTTTCTGGAGAAGGAACTTTGTAGAGAAATTTAGAGGAATTTAAAGTGTGTGTTTGGTATGATAGTCTACCACTTTAGCCAATGTGGTACTAAAGATACAGTTTCCTTAATGTTCTTCCTGAGAAGATGGGCATTTTGGTAATTTAAAGTTGCTCTCTGAGTATAAAGAACTTATGTAAATATGACATCTCTTGGGTTTTTTTTTTTTTTTTGAGACAGTCTCAGTATGTCACCCTCGGTAAAAGTGAAATGGCATCACAGTGCACAGCAACCTCCAACTTTTGGGCTCAAGCGATTCTCTTGCCTCAGCCTCCCCGAGTTGCTGGGACTACAGGTGCCTGCCACAGCGCCCAGCTATTTTTTTGTTGTGTAGGCCCTGGCTGGGTTCAAACGCACCAGCCCTGGTGCATGTGGCCGGCACCCTACCCACTGAGCTGTGGGCACCACACTCTTGGTTTTTTTAAAATCTCTATATTGTCATCTCTCTCTTGCTCATTCAACTGATCATTTTTTAGACAGTGCATTTTTCCACTTCTCAAATTTCTTTTTTTGTTGGGAACTCCTTTTGTCCGAATTTTTTCAACATAAGGAAAGAAATTCCATTATTGGTATCTTCATTTGCACACAGTACTGCTCTGTTCACACATGGTTTTTTTACATATATTTTGATATATCAGTATGTGCCTCCCAAATAACAATATAAAGAAAAACTTGATAGTGCGTTATTTTTGTTTGTTTGTTTTTTGAGACAAGAGTCTCACTATGTCACCCTTGGTAGAGTGCCCTTGTGTCACAGCTCCTAGCAACCTCAAACTCTTGGGCTTAAGCAATTCTCTTACCTCAGCCTCCAGAGTAGCTGGGACTTCAGGCGCCCGCCACAATGCCTGGCTCTTTTTTTGGTTACAGTTGTGTTTTCCAGGCCCTAGTCAAGCTCGAACCCACCATCCTTGGTGCGTGTGGTCGGTGCCCATAGCTCACTGGTTAGGGTGCCGGCCACATACACTGGGGCTGTCGGGTTCAAACAGGGCTGGGCCTGCTGAACAACAATGCCAACTGCAACAACAACAAAAAAATAGCCAAGTGTTGTGGCGAGCACCTGTAGTCTCAGATACTTGGGAGGCTGAGGCAAGAGAATCACTTGAGCCAAAGAGTTAATTAGTGGCATAAAATTAAATTGGTGCTTCTCAAACTGATTTATTAGTTGCAGATTAACCACAGGTTCCATTTCCTTTAAGAGCAGGAAGTATGTGGGTATCATTTTATGGTTTTAGAGAGATTAAAGGAAGCAATTAGCAGGTACTCTGTGGAGGTGTCCTGCAAAGTGTGGGCATTGGGAGCCCAGAGATCTGGGACTAGTTCCCAGTTCATCCACTGTGAACTTGAACAAAAAACTTGGGCTTCAGTTTTTTTGTCATTTTAATAGGAGATCTTTATAGCTCTAAACTTCCATTTATAGAAAAGTATTCTACGGATACTTAAGTACTTTAGCCTTAATAAGTGGGATTCACTTCACACTCCCCTTGAATACAGTTAGCATTAACATTAGATTATCTGAATTCTGCTGCTGTTCTCACAAATTTGACTTTTTGACTCACTGAGCTAACATTTATACTTGGAGATTATTTCATTGAGTGGTGTTAGAATCTACCTTAAGATTGCCTAAGGGGTGCAGGAGGGCAGATAAAATAATTAGAATATAGTGGATCTATAACATGAGTGAGGTCCTTTTTTCTGTACCAGCATTTTAAAGAGATTTCCTTTGTACTACTATTATACTTTTATTTAGCTTTTGAGTAATGATCAAGGCAGGTCTAGCTTAAACCTGTACAACTTTTTTTAATATCATGGTACACGTGGAAACAGTTGTTGAATCACTGTGGAAAACTGGAAGTAGTCATAGCTGTTGGCCTAGGAGCTCTGGCCATCCACAGCCCCTACTTGGCAGCATCAAAGTCTAAGGAGAAAGGCCCTTGTCCTCGGGCCTGTCTGGCTTTTGGTAAGGTCAGTTTTACACATTTAGGGTCTTTGACCCAGACTCTGCCACCTACAAAGAAGAACTGTATCATTGGTTATTTTTGTTAAAGCAGTTTGGCACTTACATGTCTTTATGCTCTTGGCTAGTTTATGTTTAAGGACCACACTTGTTCTTACAGAGTGGCCTTTCTAAAAGTATGTGAACAAGAGAAAACTGATAAAAGATGGAAAATGCTTTTGTTGTGATGTTTTGACCCCATTAGATTATGGGCAATCTTGGTCTGCTTATT